AAAACAGAATGTGACAGAGAGGCCACAAGGGCCCCTTGGAGCTAGGGGCGGGGTCGCCATTGGGACCCCTGATGCTACACCAGTGGTTGGGGGTGTGTGGTAAAAATATGTCTCAACTATAGGATTTTACTGCCCCCAAACCACAAATGTAAACAGGCCCTTACCGTCTAGAGCCCCCTATAAGGCTACTTTCACACTGATGCGCTGTGGTTTACCTACACCATGTCTGCAGTGCATTTGCCGCTTTCCTGCAGTTTATCTGCGCTTTGCCATAGACTTCTATTATATCTTGCAGGTGTGGCGCACTTTCTGAAAGCGCACAAAAACTCCTGCATTCAGTTTGAAGTGGAGGGCCACATCAGAGAGCTCTGAGGGCCATGGGTTGAGCACCCCTGGCTTAAGTATCGGAGTCTGCAGAGGTGAACCTGTGGTTTGTTCTTTCTAAGCAAAATAACAGCTTCAAGTACCGTATTTTTCGCTCCAGAAGACGCACTTTTTTCCCCCCAAAAAAATGGGGGGAAATGTCTGTGCGTCTTATGGAGCGGCTGGTTCTGTATTCCCCCCGTCACCGTGTTAGAATACCGGGCCAGCCGCTCAGCTCTTCTGTGCAGCAGAACCTGCTCCTCGGTCCTACCTTTTGCTTGGTCCAGCGGTGTCCTGGTTTCACCAGCCGTCTTCTCTCCCTGGTGCCGGCATCCTTAGTGTGGGCACCTGGCTGTGACAGCTTGAGGCTTCACAGCTGAGTGTCCACTGCACATGTGCGAGAAGCGCTGCGCTTTGTGAATGGCCATGTAGTCTTCTGGGACCTGTCACATCTCCCAGAAGACTACGGGGAGGGAGAGAGGGAGGGAGGACAACTCCGCAGAAGTGAGTACCTGTCAAATTCGGGTACCCGCTTCCCCCCCCCCCCCCCCCCAAGGTCTGAAGTCTCTGGTCATCTCCTGTACCGTGTCCGCAGTCTCTGGTCCTCTCCTGTACTATGTCCGCGGTCTGTGGGTCCTCTCCTCTACTATGTCCGCGGTCTCTGGTCACCTCCTGTAGCATGTCCGCAGTCTCCAGTCCTCTCCTGTACTATGTCCGCAGTCTCTGGTCCTCTCCTATAGTATGTCCGCAGTCTCTGGTCATCCCCTGTACTATGTCCGCAGTCTCTGGTCATCTCCTGTACTGTGTCCGCAGTCTCTGGTCATCTCCTGTGCTATGTCCAGTCTCTGGTCATTTCCTGTGCTATGTCCGCAGTCTCTGGTCATCTCCTGTACTATGTCCGCAGTCTCTGGTCATCTCCTGTGCTATGTCCGCAGTCTCTGGTCATCTCCTGTGCTATGTCCGCAGTCTCTGGTCATCTCCTGTGCTATGTCCGCAGTCTCTGGTCATCTCCTGTGCTATGTCCGCAGTCTCTGGTCATCTCCTGTGCTATGTCCGCAGTCCATTGCTTCAGAATATTTTTTTTTCTTGTTTTCCTCCTCTAAAACCTAGGTACGTCTTATGGTCAGGTGCAGCTTATGGAGCGAAAAATATGGTAAGTTCTTCCCCATCTTGACAGGACATACTCTTTGCTTTCTTGCTTCATCTACTGAGGGAGAAGAAAAGCTTCCAATGCTTGCTTCCAAGTATGGGGAGCATATGACTTACCCAACAATTCTGAAGCTTGGTGACTGGCTGCTCAGGCACCCAACACTGGGACACGGGGCCAAGTCCCAAACCCTGTATAAGCTCCAGGTCACAATTATATAGGGTTTCTTCTCTTCACTCTAGGCACGCACAACCGTCAAAAAAAAATTGCTGGCCAAACTACAGATTGTCTTAAAATGCAACCTGTACAGAAGTAGTATGGAGGCTGCCTTTGCTGATATCTCTTGAATAAAATAGCTCCCCAAATGTCATTCAGTGGCTTCACACATTCTAATTCACTGCTCTGGAGCATGCATGAAGCTCAGGAGTTCAGAGTTTCCTGATCTGCATTGCTTGTCCTGGGTCAGAATGTGGAAGCCACAGGCAGCCAGTCATATTATTTTTAGGAGCAGTTCAGCATCCATCTTCATTGTTCTCCTTTCAAGAGGTATTCATATCAGTGGGATCCATTCTCACCTACAGGCACAGTAAATACATAACAGCAGCTGATTGTTGGAGCTCCTCAGTGCAGGAAACTGTTTCCTAGTGCCGTATATATGGCACATTACAGACTGTTTTAAAATTACCCAGACAAAAAAAAAAAACAAAACAGCCCCCCCCCCCCCCCCCTACCTTGTCCTAGGCAGCCTCTGGTGTCTGTTTTACCTTTACTGCCTCTCTCCTGCCTCCAAGATCACTGCTGCCTCCCCTTCAAACCTTCAGTAACACCCAGCGTTGCCACTGAATGCCGCGCCTCCCCCTTCCATGTGTCAGTGCTGGGACCTTGCGATTGGCTGCTTAGGTCCTAAGCCATGCATTTTGGGAAGCCAGGTGACATGTCACATGCTTTCCCATACCCAGAAGCATCGGGATTGCTGAGTGGCAGCAAAGG